CCTCCCCAGGTCTTGGGTGCCCGGCCGGTTCCACGACTCGCCGGGCCACCTCGAAGGCTTGCTGGACCTCAGAGCGTTTGGGATCTATAGGATCTGGGGCTTAGGGTTTAGGGTTTTTAGGGTTTAGGGTTTAGGGTTTAGGGTTTAGGGTTTAGGGTTTAGGGCTTTTAGGGTTTTGGGGCTTTTAGGGTTTTGGGGCTTTTAGGGTTTAGGGCTTTCAGGGTTTAGGGCTTTTAGGGCTTTTAGGGCTTTTAGGGCTTTTAGGGCTTTTAGGGCTTTTAGGGCTTTTAGGGCTTTTAGGGTTTAGGGTTTAGGGTTTAGGGCTCCCAGACACCTGGGAGGATCCAAAAAGTAGATCCCCTTAAGGGTTCCAGACCTTTGCCTTGAAGTAAATACAGGAACTTGACCAGGGTTTAGGGTTTAGGACGGCCTGTTCCTTCAAACGAGCACTTCTGCGATAAGCAATGCCGCCGCAACTTCGGAAGATTGTCACGCAGCCTTCCCCAACTTCTGCAGTAGGACTTTAGATCCTGCAACGTCTCACATCCATGTTCCACTATTCGCAAGCGCACCCGTCCCTGCAACATTCATCCAAGACTTCCCTCTGAGCCTCGTGCCAGGCACTCGATATCAGAGTCGTCCTCACATGAAGCACGATGCAAAGAAAAGGGCCATCTGAAAGCGGTCTGCAGCTACGGGCCATCATAATTTAGTTAAATCCTACCACCACAACACACAGCACCTGCCAATGAAGCTCCTTTAGGGTTTAGGGCGCACTTGGCTCCCGACACATGTGCGGAACACCTCGGCCTGCGCCAGCGCCTTTCCCAGCAAGGGCCTCAGAAAGGCGCGGGCTCAGGAAGCCCGTTCTCATCGCTAGGGTTTAGGGTTTAGGGTTTAGGGCTTGGGGTTGAAGTCGCAAAGGTTGCAAACGAGCAGAATGGGATGCTGCTGAGCACCAAAGCAGCAGTGCTTCCGGGAGTGTGACATATGCAGCCAAGCCATGATGCACCCTAAACCCTACACCCTAAACAGTGCAAACACCATGCCCCCTGCAAGTCCCGCACAGAATGGCGTCCTGGTTCAGGGTGCCATCCCATGGGCGAGATTTGGCCTGTCGCAGAACAATGGTCGTAAGCTTGTGTGGCCTCCTTAAAGGCCAAACGAACCCTTTTAGGGTTTAGGGTTCAGGGTTTAGGGTCATATGCCCTGTTCTACTACTCCCTACTACCTGGGACCCTCTTTACCTACCGGAAGGGGCAGTTACTTCTAAACTGTAGGTAAATCCTCCCAGGCAAGGTATATGAATCATAAGCTGGAACCATAAACCCTTGAGGGTTCATTTGGTGTTCAAGGTTTAGGCTCGTCGAGACGCCTTGCCCGCCGTGCCAACGCCCATGTCGATGAGGTGCGCGGAGCGGACCACGAACTCCTGCTGGCTAACCCTAAACCCTGGAAGAAACGAGATTTCGTGTCCGAGTCCCGCATCGGACACCGAGCTCAGCTGAATCAGATGGGCGTGCTACACGTAGTGTGGCCCAAGAGAGGTGCCATCACTGGTATTTGAGCCCCCCCACCCCCCCCCCACCCCCCCCCCACCCCCCCCCCACCCCCCCCCCACCCCCCCCCCCACCCCCCCCCCACCCCCCCCCACCCCCCCCCACCCCCCCCCCACCCCCCCCCACCCCCCCACCCCCACCCCCCCCCACCCCCCCCCACCCCCCCCCACCCCCCCCCCCCCCCCCCCCCACCACCCCCCCCACCCCCCCCCACCCCCCATGAAATATATATATATATATATATATATATAATATATATATCTTTTACCCTAAGGAAGAATATCTTTTATTTTTTGGGGTTCTTAAGCAATTATAGTAGATCAAGTTCTAGAGACGCCAGTCACGCATAAAGTATACAGCCCGCAAGGTAGAGCCCTCTGCCTCCTCGCACGAAACGACCCATAAACCCTAAACCCTAAACCCACAGCACACAGGGCCCATTTTCAACTCCCAGGCGCGAAGTCCGGAACGCAACAAACCTCATCCTAAAGAACCCAAGCCAAGAAACCCTCACCCTACCCCCCCAAACCCCCCCCCCCCCCCAAAAAAAAAAAAAAAATAGTAGATGATAACCCCGTACATATAGGGCATAACTCCCCAAAAATACAGGCAACCCTACAACCCTGAAGCTTAAAATCCAAACAGTGGAATGGGGTCCTTGAAAAGCCGCTCTCGGGTGTTGACGCTCGCACTGTCAGCGCCTGGGCCGAAATTCTCCCATAATAAAATGCCGAAAGCCTGAACAAAACCCTGTGACAATTTCCAAACCCTAAACCCTAAACCCAAGCCCTAGTGTGGGTTGGGGAAACCCGAAACCCTAAACCCTAAACCCTAATGTGGGTTGGGGTCTATCTTGAATTAACCTGGGGGTTCGGCATCGGGTCGTGAGGCGCCTGCAGCCGCACAGCGCGTCAAACGTGCACGGCTGGGAACCACCCCATTAGGGTTCAAGATAATGTTTAGGGTTTAGGGTTTCGGGTTTAGGGTTGAACCCTCTGTCTTCTGTATAAATACAAACCCTAATCCTCTTCTGTACGATTATGCTTCCGGGATTCGCAACCCTAAGCCCGGAATCAGAATCGGAACCGTAATCGACGGTTTAGGGCCCCTAAACCCTGAACCAGAATCGACGCGACTATAGTTCAGGATTCAGGGGGCCTAAACCCGCAACCATAATCGGCCTAGACTCGGAACCATAAGCGAGGAGGCTCCTTGGGGGGGGGGGGGGGATATTATTCCCTAAACCCGAAACCCTAAACCTGCAGGTGGTCGGACATCCTGAGACTCCATCTACCGGCAGTTTAGGAATAGTTACCTAGTAGGCAAAAACCCATAGCACTGTAGGCCCCAGGTAGGTCAGAGAGCCGACGTTCACATCACAGCACGGCTTTGGGCTTAGAGGTTAAGGCCCCCTATAAACATCCATCCCTGCACCCCACACACACACAACCGTGGAGTCTTGGGCTTACCGTACCCTAGACCCTACACCCTAACCCAAAACCCTCCTCGTTCTGCCTCCTCCGTGACCCTCTCCCAAGGTCTCGACCCAGTGGCAGAAGCCTCCGCAATGCCTCCACATCAACCTTGGGGGCGTTGAGGGCGAGCCCCTTTTTCTACATCCAGACCTCTCTCGCCCTAAACCCCTAAACCCCAAACCCCTTTTTGCATCTAAAATCTAACCCGTACTAACCCTTTTTTTTGCTTCAGGGTTCCCGGGGTCCGTACACACCCTAAACCCTGAACCCTGCTGACCCCGCTGACGCTCAGCAGGGTTTAGGACGTTTAGGGTGTACCCGAGGGATCCAAAGACTCCTGCTGCGAGGAACCTGCCTGTGAAGCTCGCTTTGCCTACTCTGGAAGAGGGACTCCTTTCATTGTCTAGGGTTGAGGGCTTAGGGTTTAGGACCTAGGGTGGAAGCTTAAGGCTGGAGATAGGCCGACCTTTAATCGAATGGCGTGTGGTTGAATGAAGGATGTCGGGTATCGGCCTCAGGGGGGCGTCGGCCTCTTGGGAGACGCTTGTGTTCCAACCAGAAACCTTGCTCACGCGGAAGCCCTTGCTGGGGTTTAGCTGTTGGCCATCGGCCTGGCTGACTGGGCTTCGGATTTAAGGCCTGCGGGTGTGAAGCTTAGGTTGTCGAGAGCCCGGAAAGAAGACTGCATGCTAGACACCCATATTCCGGGCACTGAGTCTTCGAGTTCCTGTACGAGCCACTCAACTTCGGTCTCCCACTCTAAACCCTAAACCCTAAACCGTAAACCCTAAAACCTAAAGCCTACTCTAAGCCCCAAAACCCTCTTGAATAAACCCTCAAACCACGCACTGGGCGGCCGTCCACCCCCCCTCCCCGGCCCCCCGTTCCCTGGCGCACCTCAGTCTTCACACTCATGGTCTGCGCCTGCAGGGGTTTAGGAGTGTTTAGGGTTTAAGGTTTAGTGTTTAGGGGTTAAAGCTCCTAAACCCTGAGCCCTAAACCCTAAACCGAGGGCTTAGGAGATTTTTTGCCGCCTGCCTAGCAGCATCGCAGCTTTTTGGGATTTAGGCTTTAGGGTTTATGCGAACGGCCATGCGGACAATCCAGGGACAACTCAAGAATTCGGAGCTCAATTAGGCTGGCGGTTCAGGGGACGATGTGTGGCCAAACGCTGAGCGAGCCAGGCCTCCCCAGCATTTACACAGCTTGCCTTGGACCTTTTTGCATCCGAACTTAAACTAAACCAAAAACCCTAAACCCAACCCTACACCACAAACCCTAAACCCTACTAAACCCTATACTCTCTTGCGGAGGGTTTAGGTGTGTGTATTGGATACTCCGGTTTTGAAGTAGATATCAAACCAAAGGGTTTAGGGTTTCGGGTTTCGGGTTTAGGGAAATAAAAAAGCGCCCCCCCCCCCCCCCCCCCCCCCCCCCCCCCCCCCGAAATCCTGCCTAGCTTGGGGTTCCTGAAAGCAAGAGCCATTTGAAAAACAGGGGGCCGTTCCCTAAACCATAAACCATAAACCCCAAACCCTAAACCCTAAACCCTACCCTCTAAACCCTAAACCCTAAACCCTGAACCCTAAACCCTAAACCCTAAACACTAAACCCAACCTCATCAGAACCCGACGAGCCCCCAGCCTGCAAAGAAAGCCCGGCGCGCAGGGGAAGGCCGTCGGGCTTCGTTCCAGGGACTTTTTGTCCC